TCCGACTAGCTGACGGTATTCCCGAGGCCACACCTTTTGGAAATAGCATATGAAACCGAACCAAAAATATTAGATGATAAGGTACTTTCATTAGCATGAAACGATAGTCTATCATTGATAGCATCTATGGAAAAAAATCTCTTCTGCAACTCTTATTGTGGTTTAGAGAATGAAACTTCACTGGAAACTATTACAAAAAAAGATGCTTCTCGTTTAGCACAATAGCTATCCTTGCAACATCGATATCTCTTGAATTTCTCATTCGTTCGAGCTGAAGCTTTCAGTTTATTCCTAACTCAGATGTATCTATCTACTATTTAAATATCAGTCAAATAGATGAAATCGATTTTGCAAGGGTGTAGAGTTTTGGGTGTAGATGTGGATTACGGAAGGACTCACACTCATACCGATATCCACACCCTGATGCGATCTTGTCAAGATCATAAGAAGATTTGTATGCATGCAAATCTCAGTAAATTTGACAGGACTGCAAGTGCATCTTTGGAACCTGATACATTCTACATGGGTGATACTGATGAGGGAACTACCCCAACTGATTCCGAGGTTTGGGCTTCATTTTTTGACTGTGGGTAAGTCTTAGTGAGGCTAAGGAAATCCTAGAAGCATTCATGCTTATGGGCTGCTGATCCAAAGTTATAGCCATTTTACTGAATTTTTAGTCTGAGGCACGGTATCCACTGCAAAGTCAAATGACGGTATCTGGATCTGATATTCTGTCCATAAGCAGGTCTAATTACTCCTAGTATCTAGCAAAATTTTCAATCAAAACGGATACTTCCTTCTTGAAATATTCAATTTTCAAAAAATGTCCGCTTATAACAGACCAGTTACAATAATAGAGCTGTACTGCATATTGAATGTCTCAAGAAGGAAGTATCCGTTTTGATTGAAAATTTTGCTAGATACTAGGAATCATTAGACCTGCTTATGGACAGAATATCAAATCCAAATACCGTCATTTGACTTTGCAGTGGATACCGTGCCTCAGACTAAAAATTCAGTAAAATGGTTATAACTTTGGACTAGGAGCCTATAAGCACGAATGCTTCTAGGATTTTCTTAGTCTCACTAAGGCTTATCTGCAGCCAAAAAATGAAGTCCAAAGCTCGAAATCAGTTGGGGTAGTTCCCTTATAAGTAGATCAATGTTGATTTTATTAGGTGTCTGCATAGAAAAAAATTAAGATATGTCAGTTTTATGTGTAATTTAGAATGTGTGGTTCTTAATTGGATAGGTAGAAAGAGTTCTACAGAGTTATTATTAAATTATCGAACAAACCAGTTTCAGACGATTTCATAAGATCCTACCGGATGTCACGAAAAATTGCACCACTTTGTGTTTTACATGCATCTCAATTTAAAGAAAACATAATATTAGGAATTTATTTTTGATAGATGCGTAATTCAATTCACTACAAACTTGTATTTAATTAAGTTGATCATCAAAATCTTTTCTCAATGTCAACTGTTCAAACTATTTCGGTCAATTTAGTTAACAAACCTGCCCATCGTTTAAAAAAAGCTCTCGAAAATCTGAAGATTTATTTTTTTGTCTAGAAAGGAAGAAGGTGATAAGGTGTTCAGGTAGGTCTGAGATTTTCGATTCTGCAAAATAGCTTGTGACTCTCATACAATGCCTCAAACCAGCATAATATTTATCTTACTTTTCCGTCTTTGAATCTGGGCAATTTCATTAGTCAAACGTTCAATTGTTTCATTACACATTGTTCGTTCATACAAAATGGTCTTGTTCAATTGTTCTAAATAGAAAAATACAGGAATTTGAGGATTTCATTCGTAATCGTGAATGTAGAATCTTTTCAGCATTGTAGAAACTAAACTAGCATGCTTAAATCCTTGACGAATTGCTATAAACTCCAAGCATCGATTTAACTAATCAAATAATGAACTCTGTCAGACTTCGACGCTGAATGTGTTCAGAAGGGTCTGTCTGGAACCTGTTAGGAGAATCTCATGAATGAGGATTTTGCAATCTTGAAAAACAATTATGCATCGTAATCAGTGTGGATTTGGGAGAATGCAAGAATCTAGTAAGATATGTTTCAAGACGCTTTACATTTTTCGGGACGTTCTTGATCATATGATTTTCTGCAGTATAACTGCAAATCTGTCAAAAGGCTCCTAAAATGTTCGTATAGGGAATGTAGGCAAAGTTATATTAGGCTCATGGACAGTTATATCAAGTTCTTCCAAGAAAGATTCTGTTAGGATCGAAGCAAGATCATTACAAGATTTGCATAGATGCAAAATTAAGTAAACGTTATAGAACTCTACACAAATCTTTGGAAGCTGACGACTTCTACTGAGAACAATGTTCTTTCGGTTGTATAGAAGGTCATATGAAATAAAATCAGTTTGTGACTATGTTTATATGTTTGCTGACACATGTATAGTAACCTGAACAGGTATTCATGGAGATTTGAAAATAATAAAAGAATGAGCTTTATCGTAATGGTAATACGATGAATGAAATTATTTCATTATTTGTCACACGTCCATTTCGCTATTTCAAACTGAAAGCTGAGACTCTAGGTGCAACTCTTCTCTTGACTCACTTAGCACACACTCACCCTCCGCATAGGTCTGAATCACATGCTCGTCTTTGAGAAAAATAACATATAGACGAGCTAATCGAATAAACAATAAAACAAGACCTCAACTTGTACACACATAAAAGACAGAGTAGTCGAACTTGTATAAGAATTTTACTTTCTATCTTTCAAAGAGATTAAAGCGATTATAAATAATATTTTTCACATCAGATATGTTCATATCAATATAAGTAATCGGATTAAGGGTTTTGCATTATCATTAACGTCAAAGGACGAATTTGTTTAAACAAGTTGAACTGCTTTAAAAGTAGTGAAACAAAACAACAATCGATTATTGAACATAATCAAGTCGTTTAGAAAAATACGTGTTTTAGCCTTTGAACATGGTATCACTAGTGAGATTCGCGCTAAAAAGAGTAGAAATACGTAAATCTAAAAAACCTTGATGCATTTTGAGATGTTAAAGAAACCGTTAAAAGGCCTTTTTTAACAGAATTTGAAACACTCAAGAAAATTTACAATTTCATGTAGATTCTTTTAGATCAAAATTAAGTTTATTAAGTAATTTGTTACATAACGATAATAACATTGAATTCTTATAAGAATTCATCTGAATAATGCTTCAAGCAATTCAGATCTATGGAATATGTAATTGGTTTCTCTGTAGATACACTCAATTCAAGAGTCGAATATGTACTAAGATGAAAAGTCATAAAATAAAAATTATTCTACTGTTAAGAAGCTCATCTAACTACGGCACATCTTGTGATAATACATATATATAAAGAGTATTTCCTAGGCTTTGAGTCATTATATAAAGTTACATATAGAGAGATAATATATATATCAGAGATGTCCATCGCGGCTGAAAACTCGCCGCTGCCGCGCCGCGGCGATTCTGAGAAAATGTGTCGGCGTTGCTGATGCGACGCGGAGGTTTTCAGAAAAATTGGTGCTGCCACGCCGCATAGATATTACAGGATATCTTGCCGCCCCGCTGGCGCCTCGCCACTATTAATAAGTTAGCCGCGCCGCTGCCACGACGCAGCATACCCACGAAAAAAAAATTGTAAAGACTTCCGTTTCAACGCGTTTTTCTATAGGTCACATGTTTTCGCTAGAACTTAAACGCAGTTTTGAAAACGGATTGCAACGCGTTTTTTTAAAGATTTCATGGTTTTCAGAGACTTTAAACGCAGTTTTAAAAACGCATTCAAATGCGTTTTTTTATAGGCTGCGTAGTTTCACTGAATTTTAAATGCATGTTACAAAACGTATTTAAACGCGTCGTTTTAAAAGAAAACGCGTATGTATCATCGATTAATGCTTTCTTGAAAATGCATCTAAATGCGATTTTTTTTTATTAAAATGACTACAATTAATTCGAAATATTCAATGAATTATTCTAAAATTATCGTATTTATAGATAATTTTACGAACATGATAAATACATTCAACTAATCAATGTGTATCTATTGATTGGGAATTTTTTAATGACTTTACTTATGTTTCCTCTGTCTCTGCCTAAAAGTACTTTTTTTATGCAAATATAAAGTAATTTATAAAAAAAATTATTCTTAGACTGGAAACATAAGTAAAGTCATTAGAAATTTTTTAATCAATAGATGCGCTGATTAGTTTAATGTATTTATCATGTTTGTAAAATTATCTATAAATATGATAATTTTCGAATGATTCAGTGAGAATTACTCAAACATAGGTTCTAATTAAGTTGCTATCATTTGTAAGATCGAATTACTAATGCATTTGAACGCTCAAAAACAATTCATCCCTTGTATGAATTTTATTTGAAAAGCAAGAAAATCATAATTCTACTCATGTAACAGATATAAAAACTCAACTATTTCAAATTAACTGATCAAAGACTATATTTTAATGAAACGAACGTGATAGTTTTGACTTTTATTCAAAATAATGAAGTCAGATTTCTAAAGTTATATGCTTTAATCTATAGATAAAAGTCGCCTCATTTCTATATTAACTACCTTATTTAATAGAATTTTTTTGATTTTCAGGTGTCTCGATAGATATATGTGCGATTATTCTCACTTTTCTACAAAATAAAAAATATGCTAACTTATGACAGATAAAGAGTAGAATATGTAGTAAAGTATAGTAATCGCAGAAAAGTCAATAACAATTATACTGTTAACGAATATGAAAAGTGGAATTGAATAAAATAAGCGAAGACTCTAGGAGGCGTAGAAAAAGATAGAAAAGCTTGTCATACAAAAATCTAATTCCAACTAAAAGGAAAAAACCTGCTAATTTAAAAAAAAAAACAAGGCTACACTAATACAGCTCTTTCATTTTCTAAGTAAGCTTCTAAAATATCTTCTTGCTTCTCTGTGTGGGAATATACTGCTAAATGTGAAATAAAATTGAAATGTATCTAAAAAGTATATGATTAGTCATCTTTCCTAGCGCCATCTATCCAATAGTTCTTTCTCAAGAAGCAAGTCTCACTTCTCATAGACTATAATTGATAGAAAAAAAAGTTTTGTCATTCAAAATTTTTTTTTCTGTGAAACGATTATGTGGCTAAAATTTCGTCTGCTAAGCATTGTTAAAATAACAGTCAAACTAGCCATTGAAAATTTCATTGGAGATCAAAACAAAGCATCTAACATTTCTAAACTGCCTATTCAAGTAGTCGTCGACGTTAAAAAAAATACTATTACTTTACAAGGACATTTAAAACATTGTACATATAGGCTGTATGTCTTTTTTTCTTCTTGAAATAGTTCACTTAAGAATTCCGTAATATTGTGTATAAATAAATAATTATACTAAGCTATATGTCATCTGTTCATATATTTAATATAAAAACTATGATAAATTTTTCTGATTGTTTTGTAGATTGATCATAAAAAAATGAATCGTGAAAAAAAGCAGTACGACGTGGTGGTACATCTAATCACATACGTAAACCTAATGCAACAAAAACTCGACCAATAACTCGAAAACAAAGTGCAGCACTACTATGTGAAGAAGTTAATGAGGATCAATTTGTTCTTGTTGAGCTAACATTAAATAAGAAGTTATTGGTCGTTGAATATAATGAATTAATTAAATTGAATGAAAAAGTAAAAATAAAAATAGGTTCACGTATTTTGATTGAAAGCAATGGTAATCAACCAAATTCTGCATTAGTGTTTTGTATTGGTAGGTAGATGAGCACATATGCTGAAAATTAGAGCTGAATTTTTCCTTATATTTTAGGTTCAGAAGAACAATGTTTGGAAGAGTTAAATATCATTCAACATCAACGTGATTATCATAAAAATTCAAGTCATGATGCTGTTGATACCAGTGATGATCCTTCGCTAGTAGTCACAACGACATTAACAGAATCAAACAAAAAAAAAGGTGTTCAAAAAAAAAATGGAAATGTTTCAAAAGTAACAAATTTCAAGATTTCTCTTGATAATACTCACACTAAATCTAATCTTTGCTTATCATCCTCTACATCATCATCTATAACTGCACCTTCTACCGATAATTCAGTACAGTTAAACCACGAACAGAATGCAGCACTTGACGTTTCTTCATTAACATCAACTAACAATATTGTCATCACACCACCTACAGCACTATCAAAATCCATAAACACAAATGTCACCAATACAAAATCAAATTCACAGTGCAGTCGAATGGACCAATTATCATCATTGGCTTCTCAACTGACAACAGTAACCAAAGAACGTGACTGCTGGAAAAGTAAATATCAATCATTGGAAAAAAAATATGATCAACTAATTAGAGCATCAATGAGTGAGTTGTGAAGTTTTTCACTCAGTTTTGATCTCTTTTGACTGATATTGGCTTCTTTCTGTTTTTTGTAGTGCTTCCTACAGATGAAAGTACTTGTGAATGGATACGTACTGTTTATGATGCAATCCAGCGCAAAGCTAATCATACGATCAATTTCGAAGCTGAATCAGCCAAGCTTAGTATGTCATCAAGTTTATTACAATATTGTGTAAATCTTTCAAAACCACCAGCAACGACAGCTCGAAAAATGTTCCAATACGTATGTGCTGATGATCTGGCCAGAAATGCTTCATGGTCAAGCATTCCAACCAGTAAAATAGAAGCTATACAGGGTTTGTTATATAAAAAGATTTTCAAAACTAAAACAAATTTTTTTCACTTAGACTGGTGAAAAGCTATTCGGATGTCTCAAATGGGATAGAAAAGCTATTAAAATCAGTTTACAAAATTTCATTCGTGGTGAACGTGCGAATATGAAACAAGATCAACATGCACATGGTGCAGTAGAGCAAAACGATAATCATGATGATGTAGTGGAGCACAATGATGATCGTGATGATGTGGCGGTGAATGAAATGGTATCAGAATATTAAGTAGCAATAATATAAAACTGATTATCTTATCTGTTAGTTTCTTATCTATCACATTTTTCCAATAACTAAATAACTTATTGTTTTATATTTTTATATTGGTTTTCTTTTTAATAACATTTACTGTTATAATACTTCTTGTATATATATATATATATGTATATTATTCTAATGAACTTATTGATAAAAGAATAAAATAAATGAACACACTTGATATAAAATGAATAAATAAATTTTCAATATGATTTAGAGCATTACTTCTCTCTTCAGAAAAACCAGTTTTCTCGTGTAAAAATAAGATACTACATTCTACCTTTGAGAGATGATTATATATATAGAGTAGAATGGTCAACAAAAAGTAAAACAGATTTCTAAAACTAATGATATATTTACAGCGTTCATGGTTGATGAATTATTCTGTAATGACAATACTTGATTTCTTTCAAGTTGAATACTCAGTTGCTTTACCAGTAAAAGATTGAATTTTCTTGTTTAGATGTCTTCACAAAAATCATCCAAATTAAAATGGTACCACAAAAACAGACAGATAATAAATCAAAAAAGAAGAAATCAATATCGAGAGTCAATTAATCGACAGTAAGAATTTTTTTCTTAATTTATTGATGTTTTTATGTTTACTGTGGCATTGAGACTGTTGTTTTTATTAGAAGTCAATACAACTCTGAGCATAATATCGATTTTTTAAATGAACGAGAGCGCCCTGGTCATGATCAAATGGAAACGGAAAATTTTCAGAAGGATAATGACCAAGATCAATGTTCTATTCTTTTTGACCATGATGACATTTGTTATGATACAATGGTCAACGAAGAACCAACTAATATCGAAAAAAGGAAATTTGCTTTAAATGAAGAAACTGATGATGAACTGATAGAAACTATTTATTCTACAGATGAAGAAAATCCAAGTGAAGAAGAAAATTCTAGTGAAGAGGAAAATCCTAGTGAAGAAGAAAATCCAAGTGAAGAAGAAAATCTAAGTGAAACATTTACAGGAGAAAATGAATTAAATACAATTTTGCAACTACATGAATATCATGATGAAAAAACGTTTGAATTCCGTTACCGTATTATCAGAAGGAAAATTTTTAAATAAGATATTTTTATTTTGATTTTAGAACTGAAGTTTTGCATGATCAGTTTCACAGAGAGTATAATGAGATTGATATATCTGTTTGTTTAATAGTTTTGAAAACAAAGCATAAGTTAACATTCGAATGCTTAAATGATATTAGAAAATTACTTATTTCATTGAAAGTGAAAAATGTACCATCATCGATATATCGAGTTCGTAAATTAATTAATACAACTAGTAAATCAACTAACGGTAACACATCTCCAACAAGTGCTACATCACCGACAATTATTTGTCAAAAATGTGAACGTATCTCATTATCCCACGTACGTTGTACTCATAATAATTGTGATAATCACGAAAAATATGAAACTAAACCATATACTTATATTTATTTTAATGTTCATCATCAGTTGCAACAAATATTTTGTCGTGAAGAAAACATTAAGTGTTATTCATTGCAAAAGGAACCATCAATTAATGTTATGCGTGATGTTAATGATGGACAGGTTTATTCTAGGTTGTTAAGAGAAGTTAACATGAACGAGATGAATAACATAATGACTTTTATAATGAATGTTGATGGTATTGCTATTGGAAATAATACTGAAGAATCATTGTGGGTGATAACATGTACAATCAATGAAATAAAGCGATCCGAAAGATTCAAAATTCACAATTCCATCATTGCTGGAGTCTGTTCATGTTATAAAAAGCCCACCCGTACAATCATGCAATTATTATTAAAGCCAATTGTTGAGCAGCTAGTTGAATTAGAAAAGCCTCATCTTTTTCAAATGAAAGCGTATAATAATAATTATAAAATGATCCAAATGTATTTAATTGGTACTTGTAATGACAAGCCTGCAACTAGTTTAGTGCAAAATTCACCCGAACCAATTGCGAAATTTGGCTGTAGTCGGTGTGAGCTGCCTGGTATGTCTGTTGATACCTCACTGGAAAACATATGGAATGATACCGAACCAAAGAGTGCCATGGACTAAAAATGGCTTCCAATTCGTTACAACTCTCTAAGTTTTATTGGGTTTTGTAAAGAGGACAACGAAACACTTAGAAAAGTATGCTTCGTCAATCAGAATTATTTTCAGCCATCCAAAGTTTTTACGAAACCGTTTTAAGAGTTTCTCATTCGTTTCAAAAATGGTTCGGTGCCATGGAAAAAACTAGTATGACTGACGAACCATTTTTGAAACGAATGAGAAACTCTTAAAAGGTTTCGTAAAAATCCTGCGTGACTAAAAATAATTCTGATTGACCACGCATATTTTTCCAAGTGTTTCGTTGTTCTCTCTACGAAACCCAATAAGGTTTAGAAAATTGTGACAAATCAGAAACCTTTTTAAGTCCAGAACTATGCAGGAAATCTTGTTTTTTGTCCATAAAACTGTTTGGTTCTGTATAATACCACATGTTTTTCGATGCTTTAAGAAAAGTTCGTATTACATGAAATTGATGTTCATTTTAGGCGAAACTACTCTTTCAAACACAAAGGAACATATTACACAAGATCGAACATCTTCAACCGTTAGAAAAACAAGAAAAGATACACACAAAATTCGTGTTTTTCCTACGAACGAAGATGATCGCATTGAACTGCGTTCATCAGCACGATGTGAAATAGCTCTTAATCAACTAGCAAAAGCGAAACATCGTAGTCATCATCTAACACAAGAAGATGAATTAAATTTAAGATTAGGTTATCTTGGAAGATGCAATCTAACAATTTTATCTTACTTTGATCATGGATATTCGTTCTTAGTGGACACACTGCACACCATTTATCACGGTGCTTTTGTAAGTACTCACTCTCAATTCAGACTTAATCTATAAGTGAAATTGAGGTATTAGGAAGCGTGCATTTCAGCTGTGATTGTTATTCAGAATTTATGTCATAAGTTTTATTCTATACAAGTCTTTTTAGAAAAGACTGATGAAGCTATGGTTTCATTCGAAATATCGAACTCAGAAATGGTCCATTCATCAACATATAAATCAAATTGAAAGTGATATACAACGATTTCGCTTTCCATGCACAACAACTAGAGCACCAAGAACGATAAAGAAATATTACAGACTTAAAGCAAATGAATCACGAGTGCTCTTGCTCATAGTATATCCAATTTTTAAACAATATTTAAAACCGATATACTTTAAGCATTTACAATTGCTATCATTTGCACTACATATAGGTGAATCAAGAGAGATAACTTCATCAAAACTCATCGAGATGCAAGTCTTATTACAGAAATTCGTTTACACGTTTCATCATTTGTATGGCATACGCCATACTGTGAATACAGTTCACGCAGTTATTCATTTTCATGACACAGTTAGAGATTATGGGCCCTTATCAAATTATAGTACATTCAACTACGAATCTCTAATCGGTAATTACAATTTTAATTTCAGAAAAATCTTATCTTTTCCTTTTACATTAGGTCGGCTTGCATCAACAACAAGTGGCACTAAACATTTACCACGTGAAATTGAAAATAATGTAGAGTTGATTAAAAATTCTTCATTTTTAGCTAATACATACTGCACTTCATCATCATTATATTCTCTCATATCTGAATTTCAAGGTAATCAAAAAGATGAATGTTTAACATCAAACAATTATCTAGTACAGAGAAAAATATCGATCATTGATGATGATGACAAAAATGAGCTGTGTTTAAAATTTGGAAAAGATTTATTATTATATTACAAATGTATTATAAAAGGCGCTACGTTTACAACATTAAATTATTCGAGATCAAAACAGTTTCAAGATTGCGCTATACTTTATAGACGTGAAAATAGTCTTTATTTTGGTCTCATTAATAAAATTATATTAATAACAACATCAAAAACTTTATTGTTTCAAGTTTATCCTTTATCGAACAATAGAAAAGATGAAATATTATTGAATTTTAATGAACAAAAAGTTATATGCGATAATGTTGAATATGGAACAATTAACTTTGATCATCATATTCATATTAATGCACACGATGTTATTGAAAAAGTGTCCTACTATCAGCAAAAAAATAATTTTATTTTTGTTCGTTACCCAACGTTAATAGAATCTAGTTAGGAAACATTTTCTTTATCGTCAATCATTAGATTGTTTAATAAATAGATAGTTTCTTTTACAGCACTTTTGGAGTATATTTTTTAATTCTTATTAAAGAAAAATGTATTTTTCTAAACAGCATTACTTTTTAGCTAATACATTTTGATGTTCGTTTTTAATCGTGTAGACTTTTGGCAAAAGGTAAAGTACAAGGTACTGCGTTTCGACGCAGTTTTAAAACACGTTTTTCCAAGAAAAAACGCATTCAAAATATACCGTTCCAATGCATTTCGAAAAAAATGTTCTTTTACAAAAAATAAATTCAAAAAATCCATTTGAATGCTTAAGAAAAAAACGCATCCTAACGCATATAATTTGATACGTTAAAACGCTGTCTTTGCGTTTCGTTTTAATTTGAAAAAGCGTTTGACAAGTAAAAATGAATGCATCTAAAGGCGTAGAAAATATAAATAATTCGTTTAAACGCGTTATACATTGGAAATATGCGTTTAAACACAGAAATAGCGTTTTATCCTAAAAGTTTGCGTTGAAACGCTGCTCTATGCAATTTTTTTTTTCGTGGGTAAAGCTGAATGGCGAGTTTTTGAATGAGAAAGATTGAACTCGACGAGTGAAGTTAACAGTTAAAGAAACATAAATTCCAAAAGTTAGAGAAATCAATTAAAGATTCAGATTCTTCAATCTCAACAAAATTTAGTCAAATGGATAAATTTTATAGTTCCTATAAATCATATATTCCATCCGTGAGATTATAAATTATAGAAGAAACTATAAGTTGAAATGATTAGTTATGATCACATAACAACAAAGTAAATTTTCTTGAATAAATTTAAACACATCAATAATATCGAAGAAAAAAAATTCACGCTTAAATTTTATTTTATTCTTAGACATTGACTTGTAGCTCGACTCGATTTGCTCAAACCTATACTATTTGTTTTTTAAAAAATATTATTTGAGTTAAAGTACTATATTTAATTTAATAATTAGCCTTTTTGTGTACTCAAAAAGTGAGTGCACTCTAGAATCAGTCAGTATGTCCGTCCGGCAGTTAACACGATAACTTTTGAAAAGAGAGTCCAATCGCGATGGAATTCTCCACACAGTTCAGTCTAAACAATGCCTTGGCCGAGAGAAGAAGATGAGCAGGATCTATCTAGAAATGGCTGAGTTATCGAAAAAATTGTCATTATTGAGAAGACCATCTCTGAGGAGGGATACAGGGGTTTTCTCAAAAAAAAAGTTTTTTCTCCGAATTCTTTACAACTTATAGAAATCGACTCAGTTTTTAACGCTGATTCCGAATCTGATATTAGTTTTGAAACCAAATCGTAGCTTTCTAACAAAAAATCCCCTGAAAAAGGTCTAAAAATGCATAAAAGCTGCATGAAGAAAGCAAATAGTCTAGATATGTCTCAGATGATTAAAAAAAAAGTGAATATATCTGCTGACTTTTTGAAGTACAAATAGCACTCGGATTTAAATCCGATGTTTTTGCATTTATTTTATACTAAGTTCTGCATATGACTTGAGCAAAACAACATCAAATGCAT